CTGAAAATAATATATAACATGTCTAAAATTGATGTAATTCGCCAAAATAGTCAATTATGACCTATTTTAAAATTTTTATTAATTCGCCAAAACTCAACTTTGGACTTTTGACCAAATTTTTGGCAATTCGCTGAAAAAAAAATATAACATATATCAGAGATGTCCGGGGTTCTACTTCTATTACCTCCACCTATCTACCAAAATTTTGTATACATTAGCAAATTTATAAGACCATAATATTTCGTAATAATTTACGAAACGTAAAATAGCCATAATATTACGTAAGAAATTTTGAAATATTGCAAAATATCAAATTACAAAATATTATGTAAAATATTTCAAAATATTTCGAAATATTTTGCATAATATTACAGCTTTTTTATATTAAGTAAAAAATTTCGAAATAATTCGCATATATACAAATAAGACTATTTTCGGTTTTTATATTACTAACTGACCTCCTATGACTTGAACACACCATATAGACCCATCTAGTATCGTCACTTTCAAATTTCTGATTAACATATGTATATATGTAGCTTTGAAATTGTAAATTAAAGTACTTTATATTTTAATTGGTATTGGTATGATTTTATCAATTAAAAAAAAAAATTCTCAATACAAATCAAATTATTTTTATTAATTATTGTATTTAGCTTCCATTATAATTATTAAAATTAAATAACTGTTAAGTGCTATATAATTTTTGCATATACCTCGGCGAATATAATACAACAAAAAGTACAAAGAGATTTGTTCTTATAACAAGACAACTTTTACTTTCACAAATTGGTTTATTACAATGACAGCCATTATTTTTCTTTAAACCTTGTTTAGTTTCTTGGTTGGATGTTTCATTTTTAATAGGGTTAAGTTTTGTTGAACACCAGTATTTCGTAAAGAAAACCTCTGAAAAACTAGCTAACCAAATCACAGCCAACTAGCAAAAAGACCAAACCATCCAACAACTCCAAATCAACTTAAAAAATAGTGAAACTACCTTACAACAAACTTGAGAACAATTAAAGACCAGCCAAAATAAAATTACTACTCTCAAAACCCAAATCCTAACTCACTAGCAATTAAAAGATAAGTATGAAAAAGAATTGAAAGAAAGCAGAGAAAGACTAACTAACACCCTTAAATCTCTCCAAAATTTCCAATCTGAAAACAAAACTTTAAAAGAAAAAAACGAACAACAAAAACAAAGAATTTTAGCCCTAGAAGCCAACAAGAATGACCTAATCAAACAATTCAACCAAACCAAAGAAAAACAATTTGCCTATTGAAATTACATCAAGTTCAGGAAATTCATTAGTACCTAAGGGTTCTTTGCTAAAAACTATGTATCCAAAATTTTAAACTTGCTTCCAACTTGATATGAGTTGCTTGTTTATTTATTTATTTTCAGTTTTTTATTAAGATTATAAATCATTTAACGGCTCTGAGTAACATGTTGATTTGCTACTATAATCATATTTAATTTAATGGTATTAAAAACCCAATACTTAATGTTAAAGTTTGAATTTTCATGTTTATTTGACGGGTTTCGTAAAATAGCCAGATAACGATTATACTTTGAACGATTCATTATATGTCTTTCATTTTTTCTAACCGAACAATTAACCCCATAAATTAGCATATTAGCAAAATATTCGCAATTACGAATTATTACAGAATATTTTCCATCCCAATAGTTATTTTTGACCACTCAATCTATCTGCTTAGCTATCAGTTGCAGATTTTTAAAAGGAATTATAGCATTAAGTCTCCAACACTGTCTTGACAGAAAATACTTCACTCGGTAATTTTTGCTTTTTTTTCTTGGTTGTTAAAACCAGAAATATGACAAACTTTATTGTTTTCCAAATATACTTCTACGTGAAAAAACCTTACCTTAACTTGTTCTTGTTCTATTCAAACTATATCCAAAGGCTTAACATAAGCATCTGGATTATTAGAATAATTTGAGTTTTTATTGTTCATGTAATCATTAATAGTTTTTTGAAAGCTTTGAAACGAAAGAATAACGAAGAATTTGAAGCCATATTATATGGAAAATAAAATCAGTTTTTTTTATATAATCAATCTAATTTATTAAACTCTTATATTTAATATTAAACTTGAGTTTAATTGACATACATACATATGTACATACATGTTACGTATCATCAGTTTTTTTTTTATTATATATAACTGATGATCATCAGTTTTTTTTTTATTATTATTTAATAATACTATTTTTTTATTTTAATATACTTTTTTTCTGCACTATTTTTTTTTATTTTAGCTTTTATTGTTGGTGTCATCATAGCTTGGAGACATCATTGGTTTCATTGTAGCTTGGATGTTGTCATAACTTGGAGACGTTATTGGTGTCGTCATAGCTTGGAGATATTGTTGGTTTCGTTGTAGCTTGGAGATGTCATTGGTGTCATCGTAGCTTGAAAACGTCATTGGTGTCGTTGCAGCTTGAAGATGTCATTGGTGTCGTTGTAGCTTGGTGATGTCATTGGTGTGGATTTCGTAGACATGATCATTGCCTTTGTGCTATTTCGTGCCATCATTGATGGATTTTCATTACATTCAGTGCCATGTTGCTACTGCTATATAATTTAGTACTTGTCTTTTGCGACGTTGTTGAGGTAGGCTTTTCCAGCCTATTTATTCTTGTTGGGAATTCTGGAGTATGATTTTTCACTTATTTATTTTTGTTTTCTGGCTTGTGAGCGTGTAGATTTCCATTCTTTTGATCTGGATTTAAGTTCCTGGTTGGATAATACTATTCACTGTGTTGTTAAACCATGTCCTATTTTTTTCAGGCAAATTTTGCTTGTTCTCTTGATTTGAGATTAGGTTCTCGATTGGGTAGGTACTATTTACTGCAGTAGTTAATTTTGTTTTTCTAGTTGTTGAAAGTGTCTACTAACTTTTTTGTTTCTTCCAATATTTTCAAGAGTGTCTTTAAGCTTTTCATCCTGTTTTTTAGCATATAGTTTGCATATATTGTGGTATTGTAATTTAGGAGAGTAGGATGCTCTTTGTTCGTTATTTTTATTTTAAATATGTTTTTCCTTTTCAGATCTTAGTTTTTTTGAACTTTCTTGGATATAACTTGTATATTCCAGTCTTGAGAATTTCGGAATATGATATTTAGTTTGTTGTTTTAAATTTGAATGCTTACTAATGCTTTTTGTTTTCAGCTATTTTTATTCTATTCTTGGGCTATTAGGTATTGGTGGCTTTTTACATTTTGTCGTTGTTGTTTTGGTTGTGAATACAATTTACCACTATTCTTTTTTTTCTTTTCAAGCATCGGCTAAACGATGTTTTTTCTTTCCAAGCATCGGCTGAACGATGTTTTTTCTTTATAAATAATATTAAATGTGTTGTTAGATTATATGGCATAATTATTTTTTTGTTGGATCTTTGTGTTTGATATCGCCGACGTTTGAGTGAATTCATTGTGGTCTAAAATTAGTACTATTGTGGACATTAGGGTTAGAATCTTTTTGCAACTTTTAGTTAAGATTAGAATTGGGTAGTGTTAGAGTAGTTATTGTTTGATTAAAACAATATGCATCATGTAATTTAAGAGATACAGATATATTAAATATGATATCGAGAAATTTTTTTAGCTGATTAATAACAATTATTAACCAATAATCGATGATCATCGATCAAAAAATATTGATAATCATTGGTATGGGTGATTAATCGATTGTTAAACTCTAATCGATAATCGTCTAAAGATTAAAAGTGATGACTATCATAAACGATGTTTATCTAAAACAATAGTCATCATTATTCGGCTAATAAATTTTTTTTTAGGTTTACTCTTTGACTGGGCTGGTGATTTCAACTGTACTTCGCTTATAATTTCTTCTCTTTGACTGGGTAGGTAATTTCAATTGTATCTAAGTTTACAATTTTTCTTTTTGACTGGGTAGGTGATTACAATTGTACCTATGCTTACAAATTTCAATTTTTTGTTCTCTTTGACTGGGTTGGTGATTATATTTGCACCTACGCTTACAAATTTCAATTTTTTTTTCTCTTTGATTGGGTTAGTAATTTCAATTGTACTTCACTTATAGCTTCTTCTCTTCGACTGGGTAGGTGATTTCAACTATACTTTACTTGTAACTTCTTCTCTTTGACTGGGTTGGTAATTATATTTGCACCTATGCTTACAAATTTCAATTTTTTTTTCTCTTTGATCGGGTTAGTAATTTCAATTATATTTTGCTTATAGCTTCTTCTCTTTGACCGGGTTGGTGATTATATTTGTACTTTGCTTGTAACTTCTTCTCTTCGACTGGGTAGGTGATTACAATTGTACCTATGCTTACAAATTTCAATTTTTTTACTCTTTGATCAGGTTAGTGATTTCAGCTATACTTTGTTTATAACTTATTCTCTTCGACCGGGTAGATGATTACAATTGTACCTACAATTACAAATTTTAATTTTTTTTTACTCTTTGATCGGGTTGGTGATTTTGCTTATAACTTCTTCTCTTCGACTGGGTAAGTGATTTCAATTGTACCTACGCTTACAAATTTCAATTTTTTTTTACTCTTTGATTGGGTTGGTAATTACAATTTTACCTACACTCACAAATTTCAATTTTTTTACTCTTTGATCGGGTTGGTGATTTCAACTGTACTATGCTTGTAACTTTTTCTTTTTGACCAGGTTGGTGATTATATTTGTACCTATGTTTACAAATTTCAATTTTTTTTTACTCTTTGATCGGGTTGGTGATTTCAGCTGTATTTTGCTTATAATTTATTCTCTTTGACCGGGTAGGTAATTACATTTGTATTTACATTTACAAATTTCAATTTTTTTTACTTTTTGATCGGGTTGGTGATTTCAGCTGTACTTTGCTTATAACTTATTATCTTTGACCGGGTAGGTGATTGCAATTGTACCTACATTTACAAATTTCAATTTTTTTTACTCTTTGATCAGGTTGGTGATTACAATTTTATCTACACTTACAAATTTCAATTTTTTTACTCTTTGATCGGGTTGGTGATTACATTTGTACTTCGCTTGTAACTTCTTCTCTTCGACCGGGTAGGTGATTACAATTGTACCTATACTCACAAATTTTAATATTTTTTTTACTCTTTGATCGGGTTGGTGATTTCAGCTGTACTTTGCTTATAACTTATTCTCTTCGACCAGGTAGGTGATTACATTTGTACCTAAATTTACAATTTTCAATTTTTTTTATTCTTTAATTGGGTTGGTGATTACAATTTTACCTACGCTTACAAATTTCAATTTTTTTACTTTTTGATCGGGTTGATAATTATATTTGTACTTTACTTGTAACTTCTTTCTTCGACTGGGTAGATGATTACAATTTTATCTATGTTCACAAATTTCAATTTTTTTTTACTCTTTGATCGGGTTGGTGATTTCAGCTATACTTTGCTTATAACTTCTTCTCTTCGACCAGGTTGGTGATTACATTTGTATCTACATTTACAAATTTCAATTTTTTTTACTCTTTGATCGGGTTGTGATTTTAGCTGTACTTTGCTTATAACTTCTTCTCTTCGACCAGGTTGGTGATTATATTTGTACCTACATTTACAATTTTTAATTTTTTTACTCTTTGATCGAGTTGGTGATTTCAGCTATACTTTGCTTATAACTTATTCTCTTCGACCAGGTAGATAATTGCAATTGTATCTATATTTACAACTTTCAATTTTTTTTACTTTTTGATTGGGTTAGTAATTAAAATTTTACTTACGCTTACAAATTTCAATTTTTTTACTCTTTGATCAGGTTAGTGATTACATTTATACTTCGCTTGTAACTTCTTTTCTTCGACCAGGTAGGTGATTACAATTTTATCTACGCTTACAAATTTCAATTTTTTTACTCTTTGATTGGGTTAGTGATTTTAGCTATACTTTGTTTATAACTTTTTCTCTTCGACCGGGTTGGTGATTACATTTGTATCTATATTTACAAATTTCAATTTTTTTTACTCTTTAATCAGGTTGGTGATTTCAGCTATACTTTGCTTATAACTTCTTTTCTTCGACCAGGTTGGTGATTATATTTGTATCTATATTTACAAATTTCAATTTTTTTTACTCTTTGATCAGGTTGGTAATTTTAGCTATACTTTGCTTATAACCTATTCTCTTCGACCGAATAGGTGATTGCAATTGTACCTACATTTACAAATTTCAATTTTTTTTACTCTTTGATCGGGTTGGTGATTACAATTTTATCTACACTTACAAATTTCAATTTTTTTACTCTTTGATCGGGTTGGTGATTACATTTGTACTTCACTTATAACTTCTTTTCTTCGACCAGATAGGTGATTACAATTGTACCTATACTTACAAATTTTAATTTTTTTACTCTTTGATCAAGTTGGTGATTTCAGCTGTACTTTGCTTATAACTTATTCTCTTTGACTGGGTAGGTGATTACAATTGTATCTACATTTACTTTTTTTTACTTTTTGATCGGGTTGGTGATTTCAACTGTACTTCGCTTGTAACTTCTTCTTTTCGACCGAGTTGGTGATTTTAACTGTACTTCACTTGTAACTTCTTCTCTTCGACCAGGTTGGTGATTTCAACTATACTTCACTTATTACTTCTTCTCTTCGACTAGGTAGGTGATTTCAACTATACTTTGCTTATAACTTGTTCTCTTTGATCAGCTTGGTAATTTTAATTGTATCTACACTTACAACTTGTTCTCTTTGATCAGGTTGGTAATTTTAATGACACTTTGTCTATAACTTATTCTTTTGACCGGGTTGATGGTTTCAAAAGTTATTTATAAAATAATGATACATTATAATTATAGACCAGGGACAATTCAAAAAGCTCTGACTGGTTAACCGGGCCAATCTTTTATTAGTCAGATCGGAATTTAGTCTTCTTTTCTTTATAAATCATGTTAAAAGCTATTATATAGTTCCTTGTTAAATTTTTGATATTACCAAATTATTTAGTTTATATTATTTTCTGTTTTATCTTAATATTTTATATTGATTACAAGATTAATTGTCTATATACCTGAGCATTTCCATTCATTATGTTTGTTATTTGCAATTTATTATCTAAATTAGACAACCATCTGATTTTTAGTCAATTTCATGGAATACCAGATAGAATTTGGCCGAATATTTTTTCATCCGATTTGGTTAAGTTTGTTATTTCGGCATAATCTATACAATAATTGTTTTACAGGTCGTTGCTTATCCAACATGTTTATATATTAATAATTATTAACAAGAAATAAAAAAAAGGTACTAAATATTAATTAGATTGTATATATATAAAAGTTGTTTCGTAGCTCTTCAAATTGTCATAAGACTAATTTTACACCTAACCAGAGTTTCATCTAGGATTGTAATTTATAAAATATTAAACAGTTTTTTCATTAAAGTTTTAAAATATCTTGTATTATTCATGTTTAGTGAACATAGTTCTTCTAAAAGTAGCAAAAGCTTTTTAATACATCCATATCTTTAAAAATGCTTGAGAACTCAACTTATAAAAGATATACTAATATCTAAATGTTTGGCTTTCTAAATTTCTTTTTTTCAATTATTTTTCAGCGAAAATGAATACTTTGTATTTCTGTATTAAACCAAAGATACATATATCTTAAATTATACATATATATGTCAATTTCATTGAATTTCTTATTTTGGTATATCAAGAGAGTTTACCGTATAGTCTCTTAACAAGAGCAAATAGCCCTCAGATGGGAATTAGAACCTTCAGCAAGAGCTTATAGTTCTTATAAATTTTAAAAAATAAAAAAAATTAACTGAATGACTATTATTTGGCCAATTTGATAAGTTTTAATTCGGCAATAATAAACTTTTGATTTAGTAATATAATAAATATATGCTGAACGGGAATGCATATCCAGGTGTTTGATATATTTAGTTTGAAATTTATGACCGGTTGTTTTTACAACCAACAAATCTTAAAACACAAGAAAAGTTCCGAATATATAGTATTTGGTATAAACAATTACGAAATTAAACAAAGAAAAATCAAAAATGCATAATTAGCTACTTCTATTTCTATTAGTTAATCTGAATAATTGGTCATTTTCTTCTTGAGAAAGAAGATTTTTGTAGTATTGAGGTGGTTCTGGTTCTGGATCTAGTTCTATATCTGGATCTAGTTCTGTATCCAGATCCGGTTCCACACCAGGTTTAGTTTTAACACATGCAACTTCATTACTTGCGATTGATTTAGCGGATTGGTAAAATAGTTCACTATTTTTAAAATTGTTCTACATAAAAAAAGTATTACTAAGCATTATATTAACAGGCAATTACAGAATATATACTTACAAGAAAACACTCTATCCTTGATTTTATCCTTTTATCATCGCATTTGGTAGTTTTGAGCCAAGGGTTTAAAAGAATGTCAGATATGGCTAGAGTAAATACATTATGAGTATTAGTCAGTGTGGGCACGGCTGATTTAGAGAATGTTAATCTTGCAATTGTCATAATCCAATAAACCCCATCACTTTTTTTGTCAAATAAGTTGTAACAACTTCGTGTTTCTTGCTTTTTTTTTCACTTAACTATTTCTGATACGGAGGCATTGGATTATAATAATAGCAGTCTTTCTAAACCAAAAACATAGCATATCGCTTGTTTAACTCTAGCCAACATTGAAACACGATAGTTTTTAATTTTTACTAAAAGCTATTGAACAAAATTATTAATATAGTCATGTAGACAACTCTCCCCGACGATCATTTGTACCAAAATTTCAACTAACAAAAAACACAACTTTTGTTGAAGAGATGTGGCCTTACGGTGCAGTTTGTCTAG